GAGTTTATTTTTACTTTCTCAAAGGCCCATTTATATGTCAGGTTGATATTAAGTGTGATGTAAGGAAATAGGAGTCTTGTGGGATGGATGGCAATCGTTTTGATGTAAAGCTGAAGTACTTGTCAAAGTATTCTTAAATCTGATTATTTATTACAGTGTGGTTCTATTTTTGAATACTTTCACCCTCAAGCAACAAAACAAACTCTTCTAGGAAGCTGCGCTCGTTTAAACCCCATTGACATCTAGTTCATCACCAGGTTTGCATGAAAAGAGAAGAATTGAGGAGATTTTAACTTGACCTTAGCATCATCCTGGCAACCACTAACGAATTTTGCACCAGTCGCATTTTCTTCTGACATTGTAAAAAATCTAGTTTAGTCTAATTTGTTGAGAATGTGACATATTAGAAGTCAAGTTGCACATAAAGTTAACTTTTTCTTGTTTTTGTGGCTGAGTGACTCAGTGGGCGATTTATTACCAGCATGAATAGACTCATTACTTGTTCTTCACCCACTTTAAATGAGTTTCGTGCTTGTTTTAACGCAGCTCTCCCAATCAAGCGAGCAAAACAATGACAGTTTGGCAGTCGCCTGGCTTGTAATATCAGGACGGTCTGCGTCTGCGTGTTGAATAGAGGATCTCTCTTGGCACTCGTGTATGTGGTTAATAGTCAGATGTTAAGATGGGTGATGAGGGAACAAAGTGCTGTTCTTTGTCATCGTGCTGTCTTTGTTATGTCACTCATACTGGCATGTAAATGAACATAGCCAATTATAGAATATCGTTATGCATTTTAACACATGGCAGACACGGGCGGACGTTAATTTATTCAAGCCCAATGGCCGGTCGCTTGCATATGCAGATGTACTGTATATGACTATATTAAACGCAAACTGCATGTATGCATGTGTTTAATCACTGATTTATGATGAGGCTGCCAAACAAATGTTGATTTAGACAGGCAGATGGTATTTGGGCTCTGATCAGAGCATCATGCCTAATTATCTGTAGCTTTAACCCACCCTCTGTGATCTGGCTTTCTGCTGTCATCTGGACGCACGACTGGAACACATTTACAGCTATTTGCCAGAGAAACACAATCCTGCAGAAACAAACCTGAACCTGGTCATCAAGTATAATGTATCATTCACAACAATAACTCATGTGGGAACCAGTATGCATGTTTTTCTTTTATTTTGGGCCCATTTTGGTGCAGATGGTGTTAGAATAAGTTTGCATTTTGAGGGTATTCTAAAAGCAAAGTGTTACAAATTAACTTTCCATGTTCAAAGTGACCCTCTCACATTTTGAGCTAAATGAAATTGCAAAATACTGTGTATTTTCTTGTAAATGTTAACATGACAGCAAACTTTGTTCTTAAATAAACCAGGAAAAGAGAATTTACATCATTGCTCTTCCGTATCGTGTGATACTCAGAAGTATTTTGCAAAAACTTTCTTTGAAGTCGAAAATAATGGTCAATAATTATGTTTCGGGTCTCTTGGGACACAATTGGCAGTTGCCAGCAAATTAGGCCTAAACAGAGCCCTGCGTTGTCATGGCAACAGTGCAATTAAATTACTTTACTGTCAGCTGTAATATAATTTTCCTGTGCAGCGGCTCACGGGACTGGCGCGCCCCATCGGAGGCTGAGTGAGATGAGCGCTCCTCATTGGAAAGATGCAGTACATTGATTTTTCATGCATGATTTTAGTGTCTGCATTGCATTTCAATGTGCTGATGGCTGGGTTGAACAAGAGGCGATTTCGTTCCACTTCAAAATGCTGCTCTCTCTGCAGCGCTGAAGTATAATCTTTAAGTATTTCTCTTTTCTGAATGACAATCAGTGTAAAGCAGAGGTCTCGTTGTTTTAGAAAAACATAATCTGCTCTTTGAAGCAGAGTGTGATTTTTATGTTTTAGTAGAATAATTTCGGCAGTATCATGTTTGATGGTGACTTTCTAGTAATTGCTTTTGCAGATGGACCGGGTGTGTTGAGCGAGGCAGCAGAGACAGCGCCACATAAATTGATCTTTGTGACAGATCACAGGGAAGGTCGCAGACTGTTTTTCTGGTGTCATGTTTGGAGTATTTGATTCAGTGATTGACATGCCCCTATAATATCTTTCCCCTCTGTCACACCCAGTTCTTTATGGGTTAGTCAGTGTATTGAAATAGATAGTCAGTTATTTTTAGATTAGTAATACTATGGCTGTCATTTGTGCTGGTTGTGGTGACAAGACTTAGCTCATGAATATTAAGTAATGCATAAATATTTAATCATATTTTATTCTTTGTAATATTGTAAAATATTATTACAATTCAAATGTAATGTTTTCTAATATATTTTAAAACATAAAATAATTAATTCCTGTGATGGCAAAGTTGAATTCTCAGCAGCCATTACGTCAGTCTTTAGTAGTGGGAATCGCAGGGTACCTCACGATACGATACGAATCACGATACATGGCTCACGATACGATGATATCACGATGCAGCGATTCTGCGGTAATCGATATATTGCTAGACAATTCTATAATGATACATCACGATATCTGTCTAACTATGAAAACAAAATGCCTGTGAAAAGGTTGTGCAAGTTTTCTCTCTTTATTCAAGTCCAAACTGTTAGAAAGCAGCACAAAAATTCTGTAAATCAAATTTAACATGCTAAGGAAATTAATCATTTTATTCTTGGACTTACTAAAAGCTTACTTTTCTTTGTGTGTAAACCAACACATTTAACTGCTTATCAACTTTTATATATATATATAAATAAACTTGGTACATTTCAAAATTTACCTGGAGTGCTTTCTCAACCTTTCCTCTGCTCTCATCATAAAAACAGCCCCGCGCACATGACATGCAGGGGGGAAAAAGACATTCACATAGCGTCTTTTGCACGCTCAGGTTCGTTATTTCAAATGTACACGCGCGGCAAGCAAATACATTGCACACTTCTGCGCCGCATTACGGCTCTGGCAAGGTTTTGTTTTGTCGTCCATGCCATAGGTGCAGTTTCTGCCGGTTGGTGCCCTAACGCGCACTTGTAATGTCTGAGAGAGAGGGAGAGCATCCAGTTTTGTTTACATAAAACTGGACGTGCCGGTGCTGCTCTCTCTCACTCATATAGTGAGGGAAATTCACCTGCGATCCGAGCGGAGAGGTTAGGCTACTCACGGACTCAATATGCGCTCTGCAATAATAACGTGATCGATGCCTACAGTCCACGCTGATAGCTGTTCCGGGGCAGCTTTTATCTCCATCTCCTTTTATCTCCATAAACATATATAGAGCAGTAGAGCTAATACAGTGGCTGGAAATCTGTTTATCCTTCGGTTCCTCGTGCTTCCCCATCTTCATAGAGAACACAGTTCATGGTTGCTCAGAGCGTTTTAGAAAGAAGTTGGAAATGGCGCGGCCGCGATTTCCATGCATTTTTTAGATGCTGGGAGCAGGGAAATCTATATAAAGCGCCTTATTGTAGTAATATATTGTAGTAAATTGTAGTAAAATATCGATATTTTAAGTATCATTAAAACCGTATTCGATTAACACGATTTGAAAAACTCAGGATGAATAAATACTGCATAAAGCAAAGTAAAAAAAAAAACTAAATCCAGCATAAAGCAAAGTTTTAAGTAACAGTCTCATGTGCGCACAGCACGCAGAGTAGTTTTGTTTTGGGTGAAAACATGGCGGGAAGCTGGGAGGTTATTATACAATTGAATATATGTATGCATTAATTATATGAATGTACCTTTGAAGGTTCTGACAGTCTTCAGAAAAGATTTGACGGCATTTTGTTTTCATCTTCGCTCCATGTAATACCTTATAAAGTAGTGTTCTTAATCGCAATGCTGCTTTGTCTAGGGAGGTTACGGGAAACAGCTGTAATTCTGCTGTTCCATAAGCGCCACCTAGTGTCAGAGAGTCGATTTACAGAGAGTTACATTTACATTCAGCCTGTGTGCAGTTTTTGTTTGGTCAAAAAACAGACCAAATTTGCATGCCCTGCTGTAAATTTTGACTGGTTAATGAAAACAAGCTTATGTGGATTCTACACGCGTCTGTGTATCTAGAAGTATTTATGGAGCAGATATAAATATAATCATTTATTAATCAATTATCATTTTGACTGAACCCTTTTCTTTATTTAAAGGCTGAAATGTGAGGTTTGCCATTTTATTAAACTTTTTCAAAGCTTTATTTGAACATTTTGTACAGGTCATTAGATAAACTGTTGTCAGTCATGTTGCCATTTAAAATCTGGACATCATTGGTAATGTTATTGTTTTGGTGTTTTTATATAAGCCATTTTATTTATTGTTTGTTGATTTTAAATATAAAACTTGGTAAAATGATTTGTGTGTCAGTACTTTTTGAACATTTCCAGCACATTTTAACAATACCATGTTAATACCGATAACCGTGATAATTTTGGTCACTATAATAGTGATAAGAAATTTTCATACCGTTACATCTATTTGTCACATTATATATGTACTGATATCTGTATTTTTATCTGTGTATGGCAACTATAAAAAGAGCAATTGAGAGAACATAAAACAGAGCAGATAATTTGTAGATGACCTTGAGCGTTATATTCCATTTACTTGAAATATTTCACACACGTCTTCGGTTGCTCGATAGCTGTTCCATCATCTCCGAGAGCAGACTTGCGTGCCGTGCATTCTTGCTGTTGACAGAGTAGGATGGTTCTCATAGTCTCGTTCATTTGTGCTCTCAGAGAATGTTTTGTCCCTTGGATAGAAAAAAAGGGCTTCCTGCAGTGATCTGAACATCAAGTGATCTTAGTCATCCTCCAAGACTGTCAGTTTGTTAACTTGTACAATAGTGGATTCGGATTGAGGAATATCTCATGTGTGAAGCCTGCCTCATAGTCTCTCGCACTGTCCTAAACGGCGCTCTTAATGTGTTTTAATTTCACCTTTGACCTTCTGTGATTGTGATCGTGTTCTCTTTGGTGTCTTCTGTAGGAGCCTTGGTCTAAATGGGTCCGGTTATGCCTCCCAGTAAGAAGCCGGAAAGCTCCGGGGTCAGCGTCGCGAGCGGCCTGAGCCAGTTCTATCAGGCAAGCTCCATCACGCGCGCCCTGCAGGAGGCAGAGGAGATGGACCTGGCTCTTCCCACCATCAAACTGGAGAAGGGCAGCATGGAGGATGAGGAACTCACCAACCTCAACTGGCTCCACGAGAGCAAGAACCTGCTCAACAGCTTCGGTGACCCTGTGCTGAGGAGCGTCAGCCCCGTCCAGGACTTGGACGATGACACCCCGGCCCACTCGGACCTCCCTTACGACGCCAAGCAGAACCCGAACTGCAAACCCCCTTATTCCTTCAGCTGCCTCATCTTCATGGCCATAGAAGATGCCCCCTCCAAGAGACTGCCAGTTAAAGACATATACAACTGGATCCTGGAACACTTCCCTTACTTTGCCAATGCCCCCACGGGGTGGAAGAACTCAGTCAGGCACAATCTGTCCCTCAATAAGTGTTTTAAGAAAGTGGACAAGGACAGGAGTCAGGTAAGGATGCCAAAACCGCTCTGCATTGAGACATCAATCTTTAACTGCAGAGTGGGAAGTGCTGACCTTAATTTACTCTAGTTTTCATTTCATTTTTACTCTTTTTGACTTCACTTTTTTCACATTTGCTTAACATTTTTCAGTAGCCTGAAAACAGCTGCTTTTAAAAAAAAAAATATATATATATAGCTGTGACAACCAGGCTAAACAGAACGTTTGTAGTTCACATTTTTTGCATATAGCATTAAAAGCCTTATAGATTTGCAAGACAAGGCCATAATAAATGCCTTTGTCAGGTGCTGCTGGGAATTCCAGTTCATTTGCAGTGAATCAGACTGTTCAGATCAGCAATGAACTGATTCATAAAATGATTTGTGAATCCATTTGAAAAAATTTCCATTTTTATTTGTTAATCATAAATAAAAAAAAAATTACCATGAACAGTGTTTATTTTTCAATATTAGTTCATGATCTCTAATGCATTAAATAATGTTAATGTATTTAACCTTGTTGGAAAGTGTTACCAAATACAATATAGTTTGGCCTGTTTAAAACATCACTATATATAAGTTGTAGTGTAGTTAACTGTATTTCCAAAAGATGCTTTGCAGGAGTGTGCTGAATGTGTCAATATCCAGGGGGATGTGACTTGTTATCTCAAGTTTATTATCAGTAAATGTTGATTGCATTGATTCCTATAAGAGAACATGTTATAATTGTTTGATAAGGGGATGGAACTTATAAATTGGTACTCATTAGATGCTCATTGAGTATTGACTGATTCTAGTCAAAAGCTGATAAATGTGTTGAGAGTATACTCTCTCTGTGTGTGTGTGTGTGTGTGTGCATTCCATGTGACTCTTACAGTTCACTGCCATCTGGTCCCTGGCTGTGGCGCAAATAATTTTTTCTGTATATGTGTCTCCATAGAAACAGCTTTGCAGCTGACATGGAAAGTAAGCTGTTGCTGTAGCAACAGAGAAACCGATGTGTTTGTGTGTGTGTATGTGTGTGAGAAAGTGTTCTGGCTGGGAATGGCTAATCCACTGATGCTAGTATAGTGTCGCCCGATTTAACCCCTTCACTCCTGCCCCAATAATAAGAACATTTATGTAATTTTTGCTGCAGAATGAGTTTTTTGTCTCCTGTTGCAGTATCAGCTTTAGTGGACCTGGTCAAAATATTTAACTTGAGGAATTCAATCCACATGTTCTTTGTTTAGGATCGCTTAATATTGAGTTAAAATTCAATTTAAAATCTTCCCTCAAAGGTCTGGGGCTGTTTCTCATCTGCTGTGCCTGGGATGCTCGACTCGACGCCAGATATCATTTTAGCACTTGTTTCTAATGCACTCATCTAATTTTATTCAACAGCTTTGCCATCCAAAATTTATTTGTTCCTTGCTGAGATTCACGAGATTCACAGTGTCGAGTTGGTTTTTCTTTATTCAAATGAACTGTGTAAGTTTGAGCTCTGGGCTTTTTGGAATTAAAGGTTTCTAGTCTTTTTTTCTTTATTGCACAAAGAGCCTTATAATATCTCAGGGAAGTTCAAACTTCTTTATTATACACATAGAAAGTGCATAAAAACAAAAATTAAACAATATTCTTTTTTACATTTTCTAAACAAAATGTGAAGATGATGTTCTTGTGAGTGTGAATTGTGAATTCACAAACGCTACGATTTAATTAAATAATTATACGATGCAGTTCTAATACAGTATATGCGCTTTAATTATGTACATGCTTGTAGGTTAAGTACTTGTGTCACACAGTGGCTCCGTTCATAGTAGTTCCACAGGAACTGTTATCATTTTCATGTGTGGAGCGTCGCAAACTCCATCTCTGCATGTTGTTGTGAGTTTGGGTTTATTATAATGTTCATCTGGAAACGCAACGTGCGGCATTTCCTCAGATTTGTAAGGTAAAAAATGTATAAATCCACGCAAACACAGGAGAATACATCATTATCTCGCGGTTTCAAAATAAAAGCTCAAACCCTCGCTCTGAGTTTACACGTTTTGATGTCCACATATTCTTTTAATTACAGTGGCTATAGCATTTCTGTCCTAAAGAAATGGCAAGTAATTTTAAAGGCTATTGTTCACTTACATCTATTTTTTATTACCACAAAAAATTTATTATAATTATAGGGCCCTATGAAATCCGTTTTTTTTCCAAATTAATTTTTAAGTTTTAATGGTTAAATTAAATTTTATTAATCAAAAAGCCTGTCTAATTAATTGAGTTTTACAGTTTTATCTTTACCAAATTCTGTTTTCCATTATTTTCTGGATTCCATTTTAATGGTTCCATTAAATTTTAATAATCAAAAGCATCTCCAATTAATTGATTTTATTAAAAAAAATAAAAAATAAAAATAATAATAAATAAATTCTGGTAAATAACATTTCTGGTAAATACTCCTTTAAAAAGTGTTTTTTTATTATAATTTTATTATTAGTAGACTAGAACACGTGGATATGTTGTCATTCTTACACTATAATACTGAACTTTGATTTCAGTGATTTGGACTATGAGATGGACACTTGCTTTTTTTTTTTGGACTATGAGATGGACACTTGCTTTTTTTTTTTTGGACTATGAGATGGACACTTGCACTTTGTTGCACTTAACTTTTGCTTTAATAAAAGGATTTCATAGAAATTAGAATTTCATTTGGTTTAATAAAATATTCTTAAGTAAAATTGTTGATTTTTTGTGGAAAATTAATCATTTAGATTAATCGACAAATTAGTCAATAGATTAATCAAAATAAAAATAGTCATTAGTGGCAGCCCTAGATACATCAAAAGTAGGCCAGTTCACTTAAATCAAAGCACTGTATGGACTAGCTGCTAAAATACTAGTTAAATATGAATCCTGCATGTTCTGTGTGTCTCTGTGTGAATGAATTGCGCAGACATGCGATTTCGTTTACTACACGGATACTGAAGCGTGCGTGACGCTCGTGCCATTTTTAGCCTCTGCCGCCTCAATATATGAGTACATAAACACATAAACCAGGGCTGTACGTTAATTTTTTTTCACATAGCACTGGTGCTACAGAGGTTGAAAGTTTTGTAGCACAGGCCAAAAAGTTGTAGCACAAGTATAAAATGTCTGTTATCATGTCTGAAAACAAACACAAGTAATGGAGTTCATCACTTAAACAGGCACCGATGTTCCATACAGAGCACAAAAATACAAACCATCACAAAAATTGTTTTTAGACAAAGTTTTCTTCATTTGCTGAAAATGGAAGAGTGCAGAAACATAACACCTCTTACACCTTAACAAAATATAAAATAAAAAAGAGTGGCAGACATTTGGGCAAAAAAATCTTTGTCATTATTTTATCTTTGTTATTAGAAAATAAGAACAAAGATATACATTACAAATACACACAATATACAAATAAAGCAAATACTGCTTTATTTTTCAGGTACAGTATTTAGCAGTAGCATTCAAGAAATTGAATGAACAAATATTAAAATAAAACACTATATACATCAATTATACTTTTTTTTTTTAAAGCAGCTGACTGATGATAAGTTCATCAGTCAAGAGCAGTGAGTGATTTTTTTTCAAAAATCGTCATATCGCACACCCCTAACTACCAAGTATAATCAATCTCACACACACAAACAAGCACAACGAAATCATTTCACACTATTAAGCGGCTGTGTTATGAACATGCAAAACTGTATCGCACGCGTGCTACAGTAGTAAATGTATTAATCGCACAGACCAGTTTTTTCGTAGCACATATATGCACATATATGTCGCACTGTACAGCCCTGCATAAACAACTTTATCATGTCACTTCATTAGCATTTTATCGTTTCTTTTGAGAAAACTATTGTCATATCACATACAAACAGAAACCTAAAGGTCTTCACATCGACCCGTCAAAATAAAAGTTCAGTTTAACTGAAACCATAACAGAAATTTTACTTAATGTAATGGTAGTACTACTACTACTAATACAACTATTATTAAATAATTTTTAATAATAGCATTATACTCTTATACTCTTTTTTTAAAAGAGTATTTACCAAAACAATTATTTAAAAGAATTTATTTAGCAGAAAAATGTAAATACACAACATACACAGCATTTCTGGGGGGAAAAAATAAATAAAATTTTATATATATATATATATATATATATATATTAGGGTTGTGATGGTGAGGAAATTTTCACACTGGTTAATCGAAATGTGACAACACCGGTATCACCGCGGGGGCGTTCCCTCTTTTCCTCGCTTTCCTTCGCTTTTAAATAGCTTGTAAAAGCGGCGTG